CTCTCCGTATGTATACATTCGTTCATTGATTAGATTATACAACACGATTTTTACCTGTTGCCATTTTTGTGTGACCTAAGTGCGTGTAGGTAGCGTTTAACTATCGTGAACGAACAACTAATTAAATTTTAAAAAAAAAAAAAAAAAAAAAAAAAAAAAAACATTTCATAAAAAACTTCTCATAAAGTGTATGTTTCACAATTAAAAACATTCGGTCGATAAATTTAGACGCAAAAATTGGGCATTTTTCTTGTTTGCAGCGTTGTGTAGGCATACACATATATATATATGCTCACACACGTGGGTGCATCTCTGCTTTAACATGTACATTACACGTCCGTCCAGTCGTGGCGGCACAACGAATATCCTTAAGCTGCCGCAGTTCCTTCTCCCAGCGCCTCTTCGCATATTCGAGGCGTCAACTGTGAGCTCATGCCTCCAGTGTGGTGATAATGAAATAATGCTTCGAATATTTGTCCAAGGAACGATGAACCTTCGCACATAGGGGAGACCCCACCCCACACACATGCAGCGTGATGAGTAAAATAATTTTATGCACTTGTGTCCCCTGATCGAGCGTTCCGGACGCTTCACGAATTGCTGTACTCCCCCTTGTGTGGCGTAAATATAAAGGCACAACATGAAAAAAAAAATAATAATAATAGTGTCCTGGTGAACTGCATATTTATATATTTTTTTTTGTCTCTTCTATGGGGCTCTTCAAAGGAAGGCAAATCTGTGCCCTCACGTGTGCGTGTATATCAAAAATGAAAAAAAAAAAAAAATTATTATGTGGGCAAGCTTCCTGTGAAATGGGAAATTTATTTCTGGCTGAGAACTCTACGGGCATGTGGGCAGTGGGATTTAAACACTACCACAACCAGGGGTGAAATTTTGTAAAAGAAATGAAAGGAAAAAAATTGGCTAACGTTTTTTTATTATCCATCTTGGCATATAAAACGCGTCGCGTGAATTTTTTACTGATACGTATTTTTTATGCGAAAGTAGCACATCCATTCCGTTACGAATTGTACACCATTAGGGTTACTGCATAGAATGAATATGCGTTGTTTGCTTGCTTCAGGGGGGGGGGGGGGGGAAAGGCATTGTAAAGGTATACCACGTGTGGTGAAAAGATTACGCAGACACCCCAGTAGACGATTGAGTGCTGCTTATATATGTAGGGACTATATATTTTGCCCATTTGATGTGTCCCCGCGAAGCAAAACACCTAGTACACGTCTGGGGACAATATGGAAAAGATTCTCTTGTTAGGGTTATTAATGTCGTAGAAGTACTGATGCACTTTGGCTTTTATCTGATTGAGCTCATCGCTTTTTTTTTTTATTTCACATTTTTGGCTATCCACCAATTTTTGCAATTGTATAATTTTTTGATACTGTGTTTTTACGGCACTTATTAAAACTTTTTTTTCCTTGTGCAACGTGTCCATATTTATTTTGTATCCATTTTGAATCCTGTGATGATCATCCAGGCACATAAAATTATTTAATATAAATTCACTTAACAAGGGAATCATTATTTTTTTGGCTTGATTAATTTCGTTACATGAGAGGATATGCTCTAGGACGTTATCAATGCACAGTTCAAACTGCTTGGACAAAATTTTTCTCTTTTCTTCTCGTTGGGCTAACGATTCCGTTGTGGAGTCGCTTGTAACCAGATTGTTGCTACTGGCTTGTCTTTTTACAAAGTGATTGTTTTCGCACATGTAATCATATTCTTGGGGGCAGCTGCGCTTTTCGGTGTTTCGTACGTGGTTGTTACTTGTGCAGCTGTCTGACCCCCTATCCGACATCCTATCCAAGCCGCTGTCAGAACCAATCTTAACAGCGTCCTCACTACTGCTGCAAGTGGCATCCTGTGGAGACAGCGTCAATGGATCTTCCTCCTGTTTACTCTCACGGTCACATGGGCCATGTTTACCCGTACCGTTACTCCCATAGCTGTCTTGAATTTTTATTCTCTTTATAATTTTCTTCATATCCTGGTTATTCAATAAAGTGTCGTCGTTAATAAATTGTACGTTTCTCTTTCTTCCATGCTTAAAACCATATATATCTTTTATAATATGATTTACATCTACATTGATACTATCACATGTGCCATTTTTGTTCTTTTTATTTTTCATCAAACATCGGTTATCAACTCCTATGGCTGCCGCTGACATTTTTTATATCTAATGACTCTTATTCGCGTGGGGGGGGTAAAGCGGTCGGAGTAAAATAAAAAAAAAAAGAAGAAGAAGCTGAACACACCTTCCTGTCTCACATGTACATACGCTTATGGAAATACACCCTACACATGTACTTATATTTACACAGTAACAAAAAAACAAAACAAAACAACACACAAAAAAAAAAAAAAAAAAATCTCTGGTAAAAATCGCTCCGGTCAGAAAGAACACGTCGAGCAAATTGCAGTTACGTAAAACAAAAGCACTACACAAACAGGCCGATTTATTACTACTTCCATTCACACACTACGGGGACGTATGCGTCATATGGAATAAAGGGGACACACAGGTGAACAAAAAAGAGGGGTCACTTACCACAGATACATAAAACATGCGTACATGTATATAAAAATACATACGTGTGTTTTGTGTGAGAGGGAAGGGCTGGCACACAAAAAGGGAAAACGATAAAAACAAATGAACAATTCTATACTATATTTCAAGCGCACAAAAAGGCGTGGTATAAAGCGCACGTGGAAAAAAAAAAAAAAAATGCATAAATCGTATGCGCTTCTGGAAGTGCGTATAACACCACGCGGGGGAAACGGGGGTTAGACATTCATCCTGTTATTTTATTATGTATTCGTGTATTTATGCACATTTGTGCGAACTGCTTTCTTTTAACACCTGTACACGCTGGTACAAATCAGGTGCTGGCTGCCGATACGCTTCACGCTTTTATGCTATGTCGCAATTCTGCTGCTGCACGCAAAGGCATATATCTTCAGTTGCTGCTCGTTTACAAAAAAAAAAAAGGAAACGCGAGAATCAAGGTATGAACAAAAAGTACTTCACTCCAAAATTGAATCACCAAACAAATAAAATTCTTGTTACGAAACTGGCGCATAAATCCTATTAAATGTTGAAAAGCGCTTAACTCTTCTGACGTTTTTTTTTTTTTTTTTTGAAACGATTAATTATTTTGTAAAAGTAACATATATATATATAAATCAGTTTTTTTTTTTTTTTTTTTTCTTCTTCAAATCTGGTTTCGGTTAGGCTATAAACTTTTCGTGAGTGCTGCCGCTCTTTTTTCGCGTCATTGCGTTTATTGCATTTTGCGTTTTTCGCGTTACTGCGTTTGGTTCGCTCCCTCCTTCAAATACGATTAACGAATGACCATACTTTGCAGTTTCATAAATTTACATTTTCATAAAATATTAAAATTCACAAATGGTTTATACTGTTAAACCGTCACGCATGGTTTGCCTCGCTCATTTTTTTTTTTTAAAATGGAGTACACGTATATATATATATATATATATATACGTGTTGGTTTTATATTTTTTTATATATATGCGTACAAGGTTTATAATTTTTTTCGTGCGTAAAAAAAAAATATTTCATATATGCCTCACATTTATATATTATGCTTGGTTCACCCAGCCATGTATATTATGTACCAAATAAAAAAATGATTTATATATTACTGGCGAAGGAATTCAGAATGGGCATCGTTCGATATGTATTCATGTACGAATCAACAAACATATTTTTGAATAACCCCCAAAAAATGAAAAAAAAAAAAAACAATGCCGCACAAAATTGTATGTTTTTTTTCTGCCTTGATTTTGCGTGGAAAGAAAAAAAGGGGGGACACCAAATGGACCCAAACCTGACCCATGTGCTCGACAAAAATGAATAGGTAAAAAAACAAAAAAAAAGGGCAACTTTACATGGGACAACTAAGGGAGCAAAAAAAAAAAAAAAAAAAAAATCACAAAAAATAATAAAGAAATGAAGAAAAGGGACGTACAAGTGAAAAGAAAAAAAAAGTGGCAACAAAACATGCAAACGTTTTTAAAAAAGAAAAAAAAGGAGTACATGCTCCAAGGCACAATTAATTGTACTCCATTGACGCTGCACCATCACACTTTAAAAAAAAATACATCCAAGCACTTGCTATTTTGTTATGTATTCGTATTGGACAATGCTTGGGTTTGCAAAAAACGGCACAGGTGTACGTTTATGCTGCATGTCTGTGAAAATATAAAACTCGTATAAAATAGCCATGACATGATCTCCCGTACAAGGTAGCATTATTTATGCAGGTTGGTGTCCAACCAGGGTGAGCATTTAAGTGTATGCGTATATGTGTACACAGTAAGTACCATTATCGCTGGACTGGGATAACCTCCCCCCCTCTCCTGCGCAGCAGCATGCACGGTACAAATCGGACGAACGAGTGAAAACTTACGAAAGTATTTTTCCCTTGTATCATGTACCGTCTACCCATGCTTAAAGTGTGGGTGGTGGAGGACAGACTTAAAGGAGCACACGTCCATAACCACACAGAATGAAAAGACGGTGCATCCCATGCATATACAATGTGTACAGTATCAAATCGTTCCTTCCCAGCGTGTTATATTTTGTCTGCTCGTGTACCCCTCGCTGTGAAAGTACAACCAACTTTTGCACTGCGCTTTTAAGAACGTCCATACAGGAATGTAATGGAGGGTTCAAAATGAGACGTAATGAAAATACCTGCCCTGATGGAGGGCTCCCTAATGTTCTGCCTCAAAAGGGACTAAGCGCGTTATTGACCTGCTACCAAATGAGGAAAAAAAGAGAGAATAGAAAGTTTCGCTTTATGGGTGGCACCGGTTTTTTGTTGGTATAAAGCGCGGAACGAACCTCGCGGGTGGCAATTCTACTGCGTCTCAAAGGAGCGTGTTCAGGAAATTGACCATTGAAATGGGAAAATAAAAAAGGATACCTCCTAGGCTACCTCTTAAAAGCTAGCGCTGTAGCCACCTATCACCCCCTATCGCTGTTTGTGTCAAAATGTGAAAAAGGAAAAAGAAAAAAAAAAACGTGTTCATGCCTATGCAGGTGCTTACACATCCCGCCTTGTCATGCCCCTCCAACCTGGAATTAATTGCAGAGGCAAAAGTTCATTCGCACAAACCTCGTTCCGGGGTGTTACGCCACATATATTTTAGCAAGGGAAGGCGATTTTCGTTGACAACACTGTTGCTGCGTGTTACCCCTTGTTGACGTTGCAACGATTAAGGCAGCTTTAAATTGAGAGCTTTCGTAAAAATGTATATATATAATACTTTACCTGCATATGTGTACATTACAATACACTCAGGAGGAGCAAAGGAATTGGGCGCGGATTGCTTTTTTTAAAAAATTTTCCTTTCTGTGGAAGCAGGAAGTAAAGGGGGTCACGGGAATCTGCCCATCCTATGCATTTTCAAATTGTTCATTACAAGAGCGAGCACAGAAAATGTGCTATATTGTTGTACAACGCGAAAAAAGAAAAAAAAACAAAACAAAGGCATATATTTTGTGGATAATTTTTTTCTCCTTAAACAACTTGTGCAAAAGCAAAAGGTATGCATTTTTTTCACCTCTTCATCTTTGCAGAAATAAAGCAGATGAGATAAAAAAACAATGAGAAGTTCATGGGGGGGGGGAAAAATTGTCAAAAAAATGGTTGCAGGATCAGCCCTTTTCCACACTGGTTACTTACAGGCGAAAAAAAAACATAAAGCGCGTGCCTTTATATTATTACACCGGTGCGGGCGCATGTAGGGGTCAGGTGTTTTACGCATAATAGCACTCATAAAAACACAGGGTATTTTAAAAAACGGGTAAATTTGCGCCAAAAAAAAAAAGAGAGGTATTTTTTTCGATCCAATAATTGTGTTATGCCCTCATAATAATATATGCATAATGCGCTGCGCATACTTTTGTGTATGGAACTGTTACGCAGATATATATTTATTACTGGGGGTTGCAGTTTTTTTACGCTTGAAAACCAATTCACCAACGTGGTCTCCGCATATTGAGCGGCCCGACAATAACGGAATTTTTATTTTCTTGTCGAATACATGTCTGCTCACTCCGTGTTATATTTCTTTAATTTGGCTTTATAAGTAAGTTTTTCTGGGCCTTGTAATGGTGCCATTTATTCCCCTCGCGGTTAGCATCACCAGCCTTTTTTGTCCTTACGGTTTCGCTTTTTTTACTTTTTTTACTCTTTGCGTTTTTATAAATTTTTTCTACATTATATTTTTTTCCTCCAACTTGGTCATAAGTTACAGTCATTTTTTTTTTTTTTTTTTCCGTTATTGGATTTAACACTTCAGGATAAAAACAATTGCGTTTATCGCGCAAACATACGAAATACATTAATGTATGAATAAAATTTAAACAAATAAAAAAAACAAAACTCGCCAACGAATCGTGCGAACAGCATTTTTGTAATTCCCCCAAAACAACGAATTGACCAACAGGATCTTCCCACTGAGAATACTCCCCAGAGAACTTTAAAAGTGTATCATTTTGTCGACAAGGTAAATTTACGAACGCAGAGAGCGAAAAAAACAAAAATTGTTCAACAATTTATATATTGTTCACGCGCTGTAAAACCCGTACATATATATATATATATGTACATATATACTCGCGCGGCATTGTACGTGGGAAACCTTCCCCGCCTCCCCTGAACCAAAGGGCTTCATTTATGCATAGTGAGAGTAGGCATTCGCTCGGTTGGAAAAAACAAAATATCCAACCACGGATGTATACTTGCGCAAATACGTACGTGGTTTTATACTGTGAGCGAGCGTATGGTATGTGGTACAATTGTTTTGTGCTCCTGGGCGGGGAGGTATTTTCCAACAAGTATGCTTTTTATCGAGCAAGGGGCGAACTAATTATTACAAACATAGTTAACTGCCCCTAGCAATTTTTTTTACCGAGTTGTTGTCACATTTTTTTTTCCTATGTGAATTTTTTCCTACCAACGCAGATGGGAAGAAGACCAGCGAGATGCTACCGCTACTGCAAGAACAAGCCTTATCCCAAGAGCAGATACTGCAGAGGTGTTCCCGATCCTAAGATAAGAATTTACGACATGGGAAGAAAAAAGGCAGATGTAAATGAATTCAGTGCAGTCGTTCACTTGGTGTCATACGAATATGAGCAAATATCTTCAGAGGCCTTGGAAGCAGCACGTATTAGTGCAAACAAATATATGATTACGAATTGCGGTAAAGATAATTTTCACCTCAGAGTGCGAGTACATCCTTTCCATGTGTTAAGAATTAATAAGATGTTGTCATGTGCTGGTGCTGATAGGCTACAAACAGGTATGAGAGGTGCCTTTGGAAAACCAAACGGTGTTGTTGCAAGAGTTGACATTGGACAAGTACTTCTCTCCATAAGAACTAAAGAAAATTTTATTGCAAAGGCATGTGAGGCATTGAGAAGAGCTAAGTATAAATTTCCAGGTAGACAAAAAGTCTTTGTTAGCAACAAATGGGGATTTACGAACTTTTCCAAAGACGAATATCAGGAATATAAGAAAAAGGGAAGAATTATATCTGATGGAGTCAGCTGCAAATTTATTAGGGAAAAGGGACCATTGGATAAAATATACAAAGACATAAATACAGTTATTGAGTCCTAATTTTCTCTTTTGTTGTTCTTTTCACGTCTACATGTTTTTTCTTTTTTTCTGAGTGTTTATAAATACACCCATGTTGCCACGGGGGAAAAAAAAAAAAAACAAGGTTCTTGCTACTCTTCCATGTGTTTTTGTACCACTGGAGAGTGTAAGCACCACCCCATGTGCATATGTACAAGTAAGTACAATACATCGTTTTTATCATTCCATGAATACTATAAACACTTCCCTTTTTTTTTTTTTTTTTTTTTTTTTTTTTGCCACCAACTTTTTATGATTCTTCCCCTTTTTTAGCGTCCAACTGCTAATTTAACAAAGTGAAAGATTCATAAAAAAAAAAAAAGTATCATTTTTGAGAGATTCAGGACATAAAAAAAAGAAATTGCTTAAATTGTGCAAAGAATGTACTTTAAGGGAGTAATATATATATATATATGCGTAATTCGCCCATGTTGTGAACTAAACTTGCGTGGTTGTGAAACTCCATTTGGCGCGACGCAGCATACCGGGACAACGCAGTGAGCGTAACGTCGGTTTTTGCGATGACGTTAGCCCTTTAACCATTTTGGGTATAAACACACCATTCGGCGACCTCTCTGATAACGCAACGTACGAGCAAATATGTGCGTATGTACATCTTCGTGTGTGCTCAACCGATGTATTCTCATTCAACCACTTGGACACTTTAGCATTGCTGTCCCTTCGGTTGCAAACTTTCCACGAAATGTCCCATCGTATATGTAGGGCGCCTGGCACACCACATCGACACGGGAACAAAACAAAATTCGGGTACACGTGATGGAGCATAACATGCAGCTACATTGACTTAGTGAAAGGGGGAATGCCTCCACAAACGCACATTAACATTAACTTTAACAGTGCATCATTGTTGCTAAATTTTTAACATGATCAATTTATGGCAAGGCATTTTTTCGCTACACAACGTTCGCCGCAAAACTTTTATCAAGTTCTCAATCTCTAAAATTTATGCAGCATATGACAAAGTTGTGCATGCATAAAAAAAAAAAAAAAAGGGCGTTGCCACATTACGATGTGCATAATGGTGTACACACGCAGTTTATTTCAACCCACGACGTACTTCATTTTCTCTCCTCAAAATGAAATAGCTTGGTTACTTCCTTTTAGCTGCCTACTTGAAAATGCATTTATTCGTAATAGCAGCAAGGTTAGACCGATTTGGATATTTTAAACCTTTTTTTTGTTTTTTTTTTGCAAACAGGGATTTGCTTAAAAAGGTTTCCTATATGATGACCAAAAATTACCAAAACAAAGTTGTGATTGTTCTTTCGAGCTAGCCATTTTTTTTTTTTTTTTAATTCCCAAATGACATGCACAATATTTTTTTTTTTTTTTTTTTTTTTTTTACACAGTGCTTAAATGCACACATTAGTGTAAGTGGCGTTTTTAAAAATTGGCAGTAGGATGTGATTATGAAGAGAAATGCACAATTCGTAAGATGATGTCCTATTCGTGGCAAACATAAAATTTGTGTGTAAAACAGCAGTATAGTGTTTCTTCCAGCTTTAGTGGTACACTTACGGCAAGCTGCGCTGTCTACCACTTGCACGTACATACGTGTACATATATAGGTGCCAGCGTGTACGTATAGTTGAAGATAAGTATGCGTGTCAATAATACGTTACAGGTACAAACCAAGTACGTGTATGCCATGTCGATATACAACAGTAGTTTTCCCTCTTCGCATGCACAGTCGTGATGCACCACTGCGCTTACATGTCTGCTACTTACGTGCTAGCTTATTATGTAATACCAGCTCGAGAACAGCAAAGGTGCGCATTTATACTCACCTCGTAATATTACCCTTTCAAACTGTTTTAGGGCTGGCAAGGCAAAACGCCGAAGAGGTAAAAGTGCATGAAAACAAACAAACTGTGCGGGGACATGGAGCACCTTTTAATAAACCCATGGAGAAAAATAAATTTATTTCACAGACGTCCCGGCGCTGTAGTACAATACAAGGTTCATACAACCATTTGTGAAGTGTCCAGTGCAGCTTTTTTTCCAGCTCGATTTTGCTGAATGGGAAACTTATAATTTTTTTTTTCCCCAGCTAGCACATGTAACAGGTACATGTGTTGTACTGTATGCATTCTTCACTCCCCGCGAGCTGCTCGCTTAAGCGCATGTTTCGGTCGGTGTGTAGATTTTGTTAACTAGGC